GCGCTCGGCGAGGGGCGCCTGTGTCAGGTGTCCGGATGGGGTTTCACCAGCACCACCGGCGGCAGGGCCTCGGACACCCTGCGCGGCGTGAAGATTCCCATCGTCTCCTCCCACCGCTGTAACAGCTCCTCCTCCTACTCCGGACACATCACCGGCAAAATGATCTGCGCCGGGTTCACCAATGGGGGCAAAGACGCCTGCCAGGTGAGGCTGATAACCGCCCAGGCGGGGGGCCACAAGGGGTGAGACAAAGTCTAAGCAGGGGCCCTGTGTGTGAGAAGGCTTTGATGGAAGCTGACACCCTCCCTCTTGTTGTGACGGGTTGTCACTTCCGCCGGAGGCTGCTCGCGCAGGAGCTCCGACATCTTCATCTCCCGCAGTCTCCCGTCATTTTCTTCTCTCTTCTATGGCAGGGGGACTCCGGAGGGCCCCTGGTGTGTGACGGCAGAGTGTTCGGCATCGTGTCGTGGGGCCACAGCTGCGCCGATCCCAAATACCCCGGGGTGTACACGGCCGTGGCCAGTTTCCAGAAGTGGGTATACAGGACAATCTTCTCCGGAGATTTCCAGAAGTTCGGCCAATGAGAGCCGGCGAGGCCGATTGCGGGAGCCGCGGAGGAGGACGCGAGGCCCGGCCAATGGGTTGGCGGATCCACCAAGACCCCCCCACTCCCCCGATCTCTCCTTTTGTGGGCGGGGAAAATGGGGGCCGTGGCTAAATTTAGAATAGCGCCGAAATCCCGACTCACCGCGGTCTGATTATAAAGGTCGCCGATTCACCGATTGCCTGATCAGATCTGTATCTCTACCCCAATCTAGGGTGGCTTTTAGGTCTGGGCGGGTGTGGGAATGGGCCCCACCGGTAAAGTGGGTGGGGCTGGGTATGGACCCCACCCATAAAGTGGGTGGGGCTGAGTGGGGTAGGGGTGGGTATGGGTCCCACTCGTAAAGTGGGTAGGGTAAGGGGGGGTCTCACCTGTAAAGTGGGTGGGTCTCACCTATAAAGTGGGTGGGACCTATTTCTTAAGAGGGCCAATCAGGATCTAAGGATTCTTTATAAACAGGCCCCGGGGTCATTTGTGGCTCTCGGGAGGTGAAATGTCGTCGCGGTGACCAAATTCTTCCGTCTGGTGCTTTGTATCTTTATTTGGAATATTTGGTGGGCGACCTTTCACCTATTGTATATGGAATAAAGACATTGAACGCAGATCAGATTGTATGTTATGTGTGATGTGTGTGATGTATGTTATGTGTGATGTATGTTATGTGTGATGTATGTAATGTGTGATGTATGTTATGTGTAATGTATGTAATGTGTGATGTGTGTGATGTATGTTATGTGTGATGTGTGTAATGTATGTTATGTGTGATGTGTGTAATGTATGTAATGTGTGATGTGTGTGATGTATGTTATGTGTGATGTGTGTAATGTATGTAATGTGTGATGTGTGTGATGTATGTTATGTGTGATGTGTGTAATGTATGTTATGTGTGATGTGTGTAATGTATGTTATGTGTGATGTGTGTGATGTATGTTATGTGTGATGTGTGTAATGTATGTTATGTGTGATGTGTGTGATGTATGTTATGTGTAATGTATGTTATGTGTGATGTGTAATGTATGTTATGTGTGATGTGTGTAGTGTATGTTATGTGTGATGTGTGTAATGTATGTTATGTGTGATGTGTGTGATGTATGTTATGTGTGATGTGTGTGATGTATGTTATGTGTGATGTGTCTGCATTACCTCCATGTTGAAGACGTTATTAATGCTGACCCCGGTGTCAGCTCTCCGGCGCCTCTCCATCACGGGGACACCCTCAGCTGTCACATACATCTCCTCTTGTTGCTCCCCTGAGGTCAGAGGTCAGCGGGTCCGATGGGACACAAGAGGCGTGTGCGCGTCTCTCGATAATCCATCTCCGGCTCGGTGTGATCATTCCTCGCTCTCCCATCATTACATATGACACCCGGTGATAAGACGCGACCCCTCCAGGAGGAAAGAGACGCCGATTTCTACTCAGACAGAGAATGTGACGTGTTGTTGTGTTTACAGAGATACAATGTATCCAAATATATAACTATATCCCGTGTGAGGAAACAATGTATCCGAGGAGAATCTATGTATGTACAATGTATGAGAGAGGAATACACGCTACATTACCACAAGTATCGGGACGCCTTTACACGCACATGAACGTTAAGCTGCAGCAAGTCACATAGAGCTCCGCCTCATATCCTGGCTGGAGGACGTCCGGCATCATCTAGCGCTTTCTTCCCCAGCATGACTGTCCCTGGCCCCGCCCCTTTCGTTCATTGGATTTCTGTTCTGTCAATCATGGAGGCTCGGCGTCACATGCGGGTCATCTGTATGCAAATGGAGCCTCCTTAGGAACGCCCACTGCTCCAGACTGACACCCATCTGTCGAGGCAGTTTGATATTTGCATAACTCCTCCCCCAGAGCCCGCCCACTGCTTGCATCAGGGCTGAGGGCTCTTGAGAAAAGTACTGAGGCAGGGTGCTGTGATGTTTTCGGGAAGCTATGTAAAGGCCCCTACAAACCCCTCCCACCAGCCATGATCTGCCTGCTGGCCCCTCCCATCAGCTATGATGTGCCTTCTGACGCCTCCCACCAGCTATGATGTGCCTTCTGACGCCTCCCACCAGGTATAATTTGCCTGCCGGCCCTTAAAACCAGCCATGATCTGCCTGCTGGCTCCTCCCATCAGCCATGA